TGTGTGTGTGTGTGTGTGTGTGTGTGTGTGGGTGTTTGTGTGTGTAAGTGTATCCATTTGTGTGCGTTCGTTCGTTTGTTTGTTTGTGTGAATGAATATCTTTAACAGGATAGGCAAAGGAGTGAGGCGAAATGATTGATACGTAGCGATAATATGGAAAGTTAAATTTCATCGGCTAATCTTTGAAATATAAAAATAAAATCGCAAAAAGATGAAAAGAAGTTTGAAATAAAATAGAAAGAAAAGAGGTGGAGGAAAAATAGATAGAGAAAAACCAGAGAGATAGAGAGAGAGAGAGAGGTAGTAGAAAGAGAGAGAGAGAAGGAGAGCAAGCAAAAAATTCCTCGTTATGAGAGATAAACACCTCTTGATGGAAAAAACAGATAAGATTGGTTGGATGCAAAAGTTTATAGATATGTTTGTGCATATAATTATTTCTTCATATAATTATCATTTTATTTTTTTTTTGGTTAAAATTTTATTTTTTTTGCTGTTTTATTCTATTAATTTGTATTTATATTATTTTATTTATTTATTTATGTAAACTTTTTTATCATTAACCTTATGCATTTTGATACTGTTGTTATTTGTCGTTGTTATTTATGTTAATGTTTTCGTTGTTGTTATTGTTGTTTATGTTGATGTTGCTTATGTTGTGTTGTTGTTTGTGTTGATGTTTTTGCTGTTGTTGTTGTTTATGTTGATGTTGTTTGTGTTGATGTTGTTTGTGTTGTTGTTTTTATATTAACGAGTCTGTTACTACTTAACTCTATTGCTTATCAACCGATTGCTTCTTATCCAATTTTGTTTCAACTTAAAAATCATTTTACTGTAACTTAATTAGAGTTTAATTTTAAATAAAAAAAATTGTTAATGAAACATTTCAAATTTTATATCTTATATCAGGGGTGGGCAAACTCTTAGCTGTGAGGGCCGCATTGAGAACTATTTTACCCTTGAAGGGCCGACCGGATAAAAAAGCTTCGCGGGCCCTGTAGTTTGCCCACCCCTGCCTTATATCAATCGATATTGTATGGTTTTTATTGTTTATTATCTAATAAATTTGTGTGATTCTTTTGACAAAATAGAATTAATTGAATTGTAAATTTATTTAGTTGAAAAATACTTACACAAAAATATTAATTTAAGCAAATTTAATAATTTATCTGTTAAAATTTTGAAAAATTACGAAAAATAATAATAAAAAATAATAATAATAAGTTTTCTTTGGCATTCTTTCTTTTTAGCTCATCATTCATTCATTGAACCTTCCTTTCATCACTTCGCCGTTCCATCCATCCTCCAAGCTTATTCACATATTATTCATCCCTAATTAACGCATTTCTATTCAATCTTTCATTTCATTTGTTTCTTTTATTTTCAATCATTCCTTTCTTCCTTCATTCCTTCATTCGTTCTTTCGTTCGTTTGCTCATTTATTGTTTGTTCATTTGTATCCATTCATCCGTTCGTTTGTTCATTCATTCATTAACCCATCCATCCGATTGTTTATTAAATAATTCATTCATTCATAAATGAAGAAGGCCTTCATGCTCATAAAGTGCATTACCGAGAATAAACTCACACGAATATAAAGCTTTCAATAAATGCTCATCAAACGAAGGATTGATGGATGGATGGATGAATAAATGGATGGGTGGATGGATGGATGGATGAATAGATGGAGGGATGAAGGGATGGTAGATAAATAAATAATAATGACGATGATGACAGCAATAATGATAATAATTTTAGCACTAAAGATGGGTTTAATGAAGCGCCTCTCGTCAAATCTCATAGACAAAAGTCATTCATCTAATGTCAGCTTTTTAACATTTCGCCAAAATATTAATAATAATAATATTATTATTACTATTACTTTATTTTTATTACTTTTATATTATATTTTTTATATTATTACTTATTTTTAATGATAATATATTTCAACTGGTCTTCTTTAGTCAAGTACGGGTTGCAACAAGTAAGCCCAAGGCATGCTTCTATTCGCTGCCTAGAAACTTTCAGTATGTGCGGTTCCTAAAACTGAGCTATTTTAAACAGCTCTGTTTTTTGAAGATGTTTATTATTATTATTGTTGTTGTTGTTGTTGTCACGATTGTTATTATTACTATGGTTAATATATATTTTTCAAATATTATCGCGTAAATATGCGTTTGCTAGGCCGTGTGTAAGGGGAAAATGGTCTTACCCGCTTACCCCTTCCTTTGATGGCTTTCATGTTCTTTTGTGTGTACATCATGTATACTATAATTTATTTAATTAAAATTTTATTTATTAAATTAACAATTATTCAATTAAACTCTCAATAAAAGTATTATCATTCTATCTTATTGTATGAAATGTTATCAAATGAACGTTACTGAATGGTGTATGTTACAGAATGGGGAATGTTGCTGAATGGCGAATTTATTTTTTAGGGGCCAATTGGATTTAACGGAAAACGTGGACCGCAAGTAATTATATTATTGTTGTTATTATTGATATTATATTATTATTATTATTATCATCATCATCATCATCGTATAAATAAAAATAATTAATTTACAGTTGCATTAGTAGTAGTGGCACAGCAATAGCAGCTATACAAGTAATATATACGCACGCGCGCGCACGCGCGCGCACACACACACACACACACACGTACACACACGCGCGCGCGCGAACGCACATAGGGTCAAAAAGGTTCACCTGGACGAGCGGGCACTCCAGGTGAAAATGGGATGGTCGGTAAGCCCGGCCCTCAAGGAAAGCCTGGATCATCCGGAGAAA